CAAAATTTATATCGAAAATACTATACGAAGGTCAGTTGGTGACTAATGTCCCGAATTCTGTAAAATACATTTCAAACAAGAGGAATCGATAAAACTGATCTCAAAACGAAATTTTACTGTATTTCGGACATGTATATTTATTTCTCTACATAATCATCCAAATTGTTTTCGATTACTTCTATACAAATTCTAAACATTCTATCTATTAATTTTTCAAAATAGTTTTGATTTAAAGCTTCTCATTCTGCTTGTAAACATGTCCATAGTCGTGCAACTATGGTTGGATAATGAATTTTTATTCTTTTGCAGAATTCATCTCACCGTAGTCGTATCGGAGACAAATTAGGCGATCCATTTCATGATTTTTAGAACTTTTTCCCGTTGTTTTTGTTTTACAAAGCCTTGGTACAATTTCGAGGATCGTTTCGGATCATTACCCTGTCGAAATACGAAGTTGGAACCAATAACTATTTGTAAATTAATTTTCGTCTATAGGTCGGTTTAAAGTATTCGTTGATAGATTCGAACTTATGAATGAATCATTTTTATTTTCTGGCGAGCATCGACCGGATTCTCGATCAATACAAATCCTCCAGCATCAGAAATTATATTATGCCTGATCTTTACGTTGCTTGCTGTGCATTACAAAAGCATGAATAGTTACTTGCATTCATAATTATGCATTTCATCTAGATTTACAAAACTGTTATTTTCAGCAAAATCAGCAGTTACTACAAATACATCGGCATCTATCGAACCTTTCATTTCCCTCAGACACGAACTTTACCTTCTAGCGATGTAAGTGTGCTTTTGCAAATGACAATTTTCTTCATTCGATCGGTCTTAAGAAGTTACGATGGAACGAGGAAAATAAAGTAAAAGTTGGAAATATTTTTCTAACGCCGGGTATACAGTGTGTTCTACTACCCCTGGGAAAAATTTTAATGGGAGATTCTAGAGGCCAAAATAAGACAAAAATCAAGGATACCAATTTGTTGATGGAGGCTTCGTTAAAAAGTTATTAACGTTTAAAGTTCCGTCCGTACTGAATTTTTTTCTCTAAAATGCGCAAAATTTCGGGGGTATGTCTATTCACAAAAAATGATTGTAATTGATCCCCGCAAACGAAAATAATTTTTCCAAAACGATTTGAAATTGTTTTTTTTTTCATCCAAAAATTTAGGCACCTAATTAGATTTTGAGTAAGGAATTTTTTTCTTGAAAGTGGATAGGAATTCGGAGCTATGTGTATTCACCAAAAATGATTGTAATTGATCCCCGCAAACGAAAATAATTTTTCCAAAACGATTTGAAATTGTTTTTTTTTCATCCAAAAATTTAGGCACCTAATTAGATTTTCAGTAAGGAATTTTTTTCTTGAAAGTGGATAGGAATTCGGAGCTATGTGTATTCACCAAAAATGATTGTAATTGACCCCCGCAACCGAAAATAATTTTTTTAGAACGATTTGAAATTTTTGAATTTAATTGTTAATAACTTTTTAACGAAGCTTCCATCAACAAATTGGTATTCTTGATTTTCGTCTTATTTTGGCCTCTAGAATCCCCCATTAAAATTTTTCCCAGCGGTGGTCGAACATCCTGTATAGACATAATCTAAAAATGTCTGCTTTATCGATGGAATTTTGATTGCAGCATCTTTTCCATGGTTTCTGTTGTACCAATATTCCGCAATATTTAAATTAAAATATCTCCTAAAGTAAAGTTTTTTTCGATACAAGTAGCTTTATATTTCTTATTGAGAATGACGAGCTGAATCGCTTTGTGTATCAAAACAATATATGACTCCATTTAAAAAACAAACTTAACCTTCAAATATCATCTTCGCGTCCACGTACAAGAACATAAATAAAAATTTTTTCTGCAAAATATCGCAATTAAGAAACTTAACTTTTTTTTTGTAAATTCAATACGGGCGGAACTTTAAACGTTAATAACTTTTTAACAAAGCCTCCATCAACAAATTGGTATTCTTGATTTTCGTTTTATTTTGGCCTCTAGAATCCCCCATTAAAATTTTTCTCAGAGGTGGCCGAACACCCTGTATAATTTTATTAAGTATTTATTCATGATCTAAAAATGCATGTATTATGTCGCAAATTTACTAAATTTTATTATCAATCTTCGATTTGCATACAAGTTATGCGACTAATTACGCAACCCCGTCTGCCCTAAAGGAACGGGTATTTACGAGCAAATAATTTTAAATTTAAATAAATGTAAGTTTTATAATCTGTTACTGTCGATAAACATACGAATTCTTTCTTTTCCTTTGCAAGGAGAGGTCCTGAAGCTTGACGATGACTTTTTAATCGGGTTTCGTTCAGTGGTAGAGTTTGGAAAAACTTAGCAAAGTTGATACGATACTTGCCTTGTAATACTCTGGTCGTGCGTTCGCATCCTGGTCGAAAAGTTTTTTGCAGGATCTTTTTTTCAATTTGTTTTTTAATCATACGCGTCAATATAATATTTTATTTTTTACTAACCTTAAAATATATTTTTTTTATACAATGAATTTCATATCTACTATTAAACTTTTCGTAAAAGCACGCGAAACATAACAATTTTAGGCACCACGGGCATTGAATAATTTTTACTGTAATTCATCTTTGATTTTGATGGGTTTGAAAAATGATATAAACGATCTTTTATACGTACAATAAGCAGTTCAGTTCAGTTTCGAAGATATTAATAAACAATTTTGGTACCGTGACACTAAATTCTGTCTATATTAGGTGCCAGTTTAAGTGATCCTGCTTTAAATGTATATACTTATTTATAGGATACGTTACTTTAAAAAATCAATAAGTCTCTTTTAAATTACCTAAAACTAATAGTTTCTAAATATATCGAGAGGGGGCCAAAATAGAAACACTAAGAAAACATTATGTCAAAACATATTACTTATTGATCATAAATTTATAACTAATACTAGATATTATGACAGTATCTAACTATCAAAATATCTACAGTAAATAACATTTTCGAAGATTATGAAATTTCCGGGGAACATTTCAGGCCATACATTATATTTTCGTTCAGGAATTCATTCAAGAAAATGCGTAAGATTTCGGGGGTATGTGTATTCACCAAAGATGATTGTAATTGACCCCCCAAACCGAAAATAATTTTTTCCCAACGATTTGAAATATTTCAATTCCGCCGAAAAAATTGTCCTGCTTCCTAAATTTTTTTCTCGAAAGTGCGTAGGATTTCGGGGGTACGTCTATTGACCAAAAATGATTGTAATTACCGCCCGCAAATGAAAATAATTTTTTCAAAATGATTTGAAATTTTTTAACTTCGCCGAGAAATTTCTCCATCTACCCTGTTGATTTTTCTTTAAAATTTGTTTTTCATTTTTAATAAACTTATTTAACGTTCTACGGAAATATTCTGAAAACGTTATCATATATGTGTAACAACATCCCATAAATTGTGCGATACACTTACTTGGAGCTGAACGCAACAGTGAATGTTGCCTTGCGTTTCGACGCATTGGTGTTTCGAGGCTCTATTGTGCTTATATCACCATGATCCGGAGATCACAAGCATGGTAATCTACCCCTTGGCCGCTCCACACCAAGGGGTAAAGACCCAGAATTACTAGCCCTCTCAACGCTTTCCGTATCATCGAGGAAGGGTACTTGTACGACTCAATCTTGATTCCCAGTTCTATTGCATGTAAGGACATTTTCTCTCGAGTCTTTTCTATTTGCTCCGAGTCTAATATTCCAGCAACTCAACAAGGGACTAGACTCGTAAAACGCGACAATGTATTCGTTTTTTTTTCTACGCGTATGTATACACAACTGGCACGTGCCAGTTCCTCTACAGAAATGATTCTTAAAGTGAGCCCCATGTGTGATTCGAAAATTGAATATTTTCATCTGTCCCTTCCAACTCGGGGGATTCCCCTTAAAGCCCAGTGAAGCATGAAAATTTTTCGTCAAATCTCGCCAACTGGCATTTAAAGACCACAGCTTATTAAGTCTAGAAAGATATTCTTAAAAATATGCTATTTACCATGTTAAATTATTTAGTAATTTAATAACATAACAGCATGCGATGAATGTGTATCGTCGGATGCATTAAATGTTATTTAAAAAATGATAAAATGCTAGAACCGAGAAGTAAACTTAAAAATGAATTCTGCTCAACATAGTAGGTTTCATTTAACCTTCCTAGTAAGTACTGGACTTCGCAGGCTGTGCCGGAGTCATTTCTGACTCACACCGACATTTTACTAATGCAGATATATTTTCTCTTGCAAACATTCACAATTCAACGCAGGGGTCTAAATAATAAAAAGTAGTTGAGAAGCGGTTGTAATGGACAAATTTAAACATCTCCGCAAAATCAAATGTTTCACCGATTTCAATTAATGCTTTCCCATTTAAATAAACATATGTTAAATATTTTTTGGTGTTTACGGGGACTGTATGACCGTGTAAGATGAAATCTTGAACCAAATTTATAATAGAGGGTTGCACTAATAATATAATTTACATTCTTTCAATAATGAACAGCTGTCCAAATATGTATGCACGGTAGCGTATCGAGGAAAACGATGAGTCAAAAGTGACTCCGGCACAGTACTCTGGAGGTTAAATGGGGGAAAGAATAAACGAACTGTCAGAGATACAAGCTTACAATGAAGGAACAATTTGGTTTTGGTTGAAGTTGTATTGTGGACGTGACAATGTCAGACATATTACGTAATTATGGATATATGTAATCGTTCCGACAAAGCGAATTAGTATAATATTGGCGACAACGTGGCCTGGTCGATTCTAGAGTAGGTGCACTTTAGTCGGTGGTTTTCGTTTTAGCAGAGACAAGACGAGAACACTTACGGATAGGATGATCGGTTTCATGCTTCATCAAATAGCTTCATCATCGTGTCCATACTTCATCAAACAGCTTCCTTGCCTTCCAGCAAACAACGAAGTTTTTATTTCGTGTAACTTGTTGTTCTAGGCGCTGGCGTCAAGATGGAGCACATTCAGGCCACCCTGGACCCAAGGAAGCAGGAGCTATTGGAGGCACGCTTTCTCGGAGCAAGGGTGAGCTACATTTTCGGGTGCGCACGCGCTCTCGTATACACTCTCTCCGATACATTTTCTTTTTCTTCGCCGATTCTCCAGTTCTATTCCCCCTCTCACACGTATCAATATCGTTTATTATCTAATCATCGGTGCATGAGCAACAACAGACCAGGAAACAGTTCCACCTCGAATTTTTACGATTCATGACTAAAAGCTTATTATATTCGATACGTTGACTCACACTTTTCTGAATATACACAAGTAAAAATAAGACTAAATTGTCGTATAACAAATATCCATGAATGCATCACCGAGAAGTTAAACAAAAAAGTAGCCGTGAATGTGTTAAAAAAGACTCTCGTTAACTGTTCAGAAAGGAAACGAAGACCAATTAAAACATAGTCATACATGCTCGTTGCATTTGAATTGATGTTAAAATGATCTTTATTGCGTAGCATATGGATTCTCATTTGCCCATACATGGTTATTCTGTAAATTAAATATTTATGCGTATACGTGGTTACGTCGATTCACGATACTCTTGACTGGAAAAAATTATCTCTGTTTACCGTACTTACGTACCATTCACGAAATTCCATCCTCTGAATAAAAAATGACTTGGAGATATATTTAATCATATATTTTGTTATAACTTAACGAAGCATTTGTAGATTTTTTTGTTACACTATATTTTAATCTTATTTTTACTTGTAGTTCACACTAACATGTGAGACACCTTGCATAACAAAATACGAAGCATTATCTTTAAAGTAATGCACACAGTGTCCAACACACGAGCAACGTTTTATACCGCGTATGCTTCGAATAAAGCGTTACGAGCTCTTTTCTTAGAAATCAATGGAGATATCGACTTTTAAAGGGTCCAGGGTGGCAAATTCTTTTAAGGCGACTATTAGGAGGAAAATTTCTCCAGATTTCTTAACTGGAAGGTAGTATACATTTTTTATTACTTAGCTCTTATTAGACCGACTAACGTTTACTTTGACTCTTTTCTATTTGTTATGCGTAGTTAAAGAAAATAGTAAAATATTAAAATCCAAATACGTTTAAAGGCAAGTATGTATAACTATACAGGGTATTCGGTCACCCCTGGGAAAAATTTTAGCGGAAGATTCTAGAGGCCAAAATAAGACGCAAATTAAGAATACCAAATTCTTGACTAAGGCTTCGTTAAAAAGTTATTAACAATTAAATTCAAAAATTTCAAATCGTTCTGGAAAAATAATTTTCAATTGCGGAGGTCAAATAAAAGCATTTTTGTTGAATAGACATACCCCCAAAATCCAACCCACTTTATAGAGAAAAATTCGAGAAGGTGTGAAATTTTTCGGCGAAAAAAAATTTTTCAAATCGTTCTAAAAAAATTATTCTCGGTTGCGGGAGTCAATTACAATCATTTATGGTCGTTACACATACTCACAAAATCCTATGCATTTTCGAGAAAAAAATTCCTTACCGAAAATCAAAATAGGTGCCTAAATTTTTCGACGAAAAAAAAATTTCAAATTGTTTTGGATAAATAATTTTCGGTTGCGGGGGTCAATTACAATCATTTTTGGTGAATAGATATACCCCCGAATTCCTGCGCATTTTCGAGAAAAAAATTCAGCACGGGCGGAACTTTAAACGTTAATAACTTTTTAACGAAGGCTGTATCAACAAATTAGTATTCTTGATTTTCGTCTTATTATGGCCTCTAGAATCCCTCATTAAAATTTTTCCCAGTGGTGGCCGAACACCCTGTATAACTATATATTACAATGTTTCTTACATTTCTATCTAAGTTGGGTCATACTTTCGGATAATAGTTATTAAGACATTTCGTCTGTGTTACTCTTGTCTACTTTTTGCAGAGAAATAAACAGTTTTAGTATTCGTTACTTTCTCGTAAATTGTTAGTGCATCTAACACTCCTAATGACAGAAACATTATTTTAGAAAAACGTAGTGAGTTTGAGCCGTCTGTCACCAGTGACCACCATGACGTTAAATACGTTCTCTTTTATTTACGCGCATTTGTGCATTACTTTTTAGATGATCCTAGTATTAGGCAGTTTATAAATAAAAGACGTATTTTATGCTCCAACTTCGAACAATCGTAACTCGGTTACAACCAAAGATTCTTAATAAAAATAAAAATCGTTTGCATTGTTGCATTTTTGCCAACAATTTGTAAGTTTAAAATAAATCTGAAATTGTTGCTCATGAACATTCTTAAATTCAATTTCTCATAGACCAATCAAGCATACATATATTTTATTCATTGGTGAGAATGAATTATTCCTTATACTAATATAATTTTTGTGTAATTGATTATTATAATATTACAGAAAGATATACTCTAGCATGTATAATGTTTATATAATGATTTCGAGAGAGAAAGGAGATTTAGTTACACATAAATTTTAGATTTATTAATACTAAAATTCATAATGTAAGTTTATATCCTTGTTAAACGCTTAGACTATAGTGTTCGCATTTGTGCTTCGCGTGTTACGTTTTGTATCATGTTTATATTTTCATGCAATTAATTCTCAGATTTGTTAATTTATACCCTAAGAAAATCGGATAAACGTCGAAAACGTTCATGTATGTTTTTGGAAGTGGATAATGTGTGTGTTTAATTAGACTATGAGAAGATGGATTTCTAAGTTTGTTTATCCTAATTTCATAAACCTCTGGATTCCTGGAGTCGATGAATTCTTTAAAGTGGTATTCCCATTCGGGGACCTCGATTTTAGGTGATTTTTAAAATAAAGAATTATTATAATAATTATAGAACAAAGATTTAAAAATTTTTCTTATACGTTTAACCATTTTTCGAGATAACGCTGTTTACTTTTCGTGCAATAATCAATATTATTACTCAAGGCACTGCCTGTTTCTAGCGGTCTGTTATTTTCAATGGCTGCCACGATATCTAAAATATGAATCGATTCATCTTCTTTAAATTTTACATTATTAAATAGATGCTCCTTTATCGTGTGATCTAAAATTATGTCAGCGTCTATAATAGTTCTTTTATATCACCCAGAGAAGTTAAAAATTTTAATTCATTTTAAATAAAAATTGTTTTCGAATTTTTTATTTCAGACGAATACAACAATCCAATCCGTGGCAGCCATTTAAAATTCTTAATTAATAATAAAGATATTGGTACAATAATTTACCAGCTTTATCTAGAAACATGACCAAAATACGTATGCAGAGTTTCAATACTAATGATTCATAATTACAAAAATACTTTATACCGAATATCGCTTTAAAATCGATGGTCTCGAATCAATTCTTTAACATTATTTCTACCGCGATTTTAAGCATACTTATTTCGACCAAAAGGTGCCTTTTAGCACCTTTGTATGTGAATGCAAATAACTGTAAAAATAATTGTTAAAAAAAAATATTTTTATCGAGTCAAAAAGTGAATTCAGGAAAAATGATTAAGAGTTATATTTAAAATGCCCAACTTAAATGGGAACGACACGTATATATTTTAAATAAATTTGTCATTATTTAAAAATAAAACACGTTTCATTTGACTCGGTAAAAGTTATGCCTTAGACAGTTGGTATGCTTGTTTACTTGTACACAGCGTGTTAGGCCACCCCTGGAAAAAATTTTAATGGGGGATTCTAGAGGCCAAAATAAGACGAAAATCAAGAACACCAATTTATTGATGGAGGCTTCGTTAAAAAGTTATTAGCGTTTAAAGTTCCGCCAGTACTGAATTTTTTTCTCGAAAATGCGCAGGATTTTGGGGGTATGTCTATTCATCAAAAATTATTGTAATTGACCCCCGCAACCGAAAATAATTTTTCCAGAACAATTTGAAATTTTTGAATTCAATTGTTAATAACTTTTTAACGAAGCCTCCATCAACAAATTGGTATTCTTGATTTTCGTCTTATTTTGGCCTCTAGAATCCTGCATTAAAATTTTTCCCAGCGGTGGCCGAACACCCTGTATAATTGATTTCGTTCACGTGTATACAGTTTGATAATTGGTAAAGCTTAATAAAATACAAGAGAAGCTTGGTAATTAATGCATTTATCGAATGATAAATTATTGAAACTAGTTCCACTTTATTGTGTACACAGCTGTGCTCAACGTATTGTTAATACATGCGGTCTCGGTAATGTCATTTAAACATTTCACTCTTCAAATTTTACAAGCATATGTGCAGTACGAAACCACTCGTCCCTAAGTATATTACGGAGGATAAAAAATATTCAACAGTTTATTATTTTATTAATCGAAAGACATATTTCTGGTCTCGAAAAGAATTTTTTCCTGTTCATAAGATCGTTATTTTAAATTTAATTTTAAACATTTTTTAATGACTCCTCGCCAGTTTCCTCTGATTTTCAAATTGTTCAATATTTTTGTCATAGGAGGGAAAATTAATAAACGTACTTGTAAAATATAAAAATAATTTGAATAACAAAAAATATTAAATATGATCTAATTTTCAACAAAATGAAAACGCCTCTTAATCCTTACTGATTGTAAAATTGTATATACGTGAACAAATAGGTACATATTTAAACAATCATGTCAACTGTTTAAACTATCGTAGTTAAGCGAAGCCTCGCCTAAAAAAATTTTATTATAAATTTTCGATCTATTTTCGCGCAGGGAAACAACGCCTCCATTTTTTATTGTATTTCTTAGGACTGACTATATCATATTTCAAGCTTGACTCGTGCGTTTAAATTGTACGGTTCTCCAGGATGTTTACCTCTCTTTTTAAGTAAATAAGGAAACTTCATATTTTAACGCAAATGTTTCTTTATCGTAGAAAATACGTACAAGCTTACAAGGTAACAGAATAGTCGGCAATAAATGATATTTTACACGTTCCAAACAGTCAAAATTTTTGTTACTAACAACAAGAAAATTTTGTAGAGATTAGAATAAATCGGAAAATCGGAAAATGCAGTATCTAACAATTTCAGGGTGAGTCTAATAACTGGGTCAAACTATAACTCTGCTCTTATC